TAGGGGTTAGTTAAACTGGTAAGACTTATAGAGAGTACAAGATAATGAAAAACAGAGATAGGTTTAAAGTAAGAATGACAGCAGTGTGAACCTGTATGATGCAGATGGAGTGTCCTCACTGTACAGAGTAAGAGACCATGCAAACAGAAAGAAAAGATGAAGGAGTTGAGAGGGTGTTTTAGAGAAAAGACAGGCAGTACTATACCACGCAGTGTCTCTGAAGTAATGTACTAGATGCTCCACTCCTTTTTCCAGAGTTTGGGAGAGGCAGAGGGAGAGAAACAATAAGGAAAAATCAGTCAATAAAAGATTTAAACAGATGGCAGGGGCAGAACAGGAAGCGACCTCAGCACACAAGACAAACAACAGGAAGGCAAACTTTTTACTATAACAATAATATAAAACTAGATAAAAAAGTTCGTCAAGACAAACTTTAAGTTGGCTTGAGAAAGCCGGACCAGAAAGTTTGAAAAAGTTTGAAAAGATTAAAAAGTTTAAGAAGTTTAAAAAGTTTTAAAAGCTCAAAGTTTGAATGTTTTGAAGGCAATACAGTCTGTAGAGAGATAGATAGATAGATAGATAGATAGATAGATAGATAGATAGATAGATAGATAGATAGATAGGATCAGACTGAAGATAGATAGATAGATAGATAGATAGATAGACAGATAGATAGACAGATAGATAGATAGATAGATAGATAGATAGATAGATAGATAGATAGATAGATAGATAGATAGATAAATGAGTTTGAATGGGTTAGAAATAGTACATAGAAGGCAAGTCTGAGTGAGTCTAATGGGCTTCAGTGTGTTTAGATTTGAATTTTGACAGTTGGAGTTTGTCGGAATGTTCAGGTGAGCAGAGACTTTTCAATGTAAGTCTATGGGATTTTTATGATTTTTAATATTCATTTTTAAGAAAACCATAAGTCCGATCAGTTAGAAAAGATATAGCACACCCGGTCAGATCAGTCTGAAGAGCTGGGCTGAGTTTGGAGTCTGTAGAGTTAAAGCTCTAGGAGGAGATACAGTTGATAATTTAAATCAGAAGAATGATAATAAGAAGAAGTTTAAATAGCATTTCAGTAAGTTGGCTTTCACAAGCCAACTTAAAAAAAGAATTGCAAAAACTGAACAGCCCATTCAGCCATGACAGTGATCAAAGTTTTGTGCTTCACATGACATGAATGAAAGCAACAAAAAAAAATGCATTCAGGTCCATGCTCAACTAAAAATAGGCAGAATTTAGATTCTGTCTGGACAGCTCAATCTAAGCACACTACCAAAGACAGAGACTGAATATGTGTCTTAAAGTCGAAAAGTTGTCGCCGTTCTCTGAGGATCCCACATTGCCAGATCAAAAGTGGTCCTGTAATGTACTAGCAGCTCTCTTTCCTAATACCAGTCTCCCACAGCTGCCTTCTGAAAGTATTAGCAGTCATTCTGACTTCACCATAGGTTACATGCACTTTCACCAAAAAGTTTTGTGGGGAAGGTCTTTTCAGACAAATTCTGTTTATTAGATGATTTGTTTCCATAAATATGATGGCAGCTACTGTATGATGGGTTACTACACAGCTGATCCTTTACTCATCCTCATGTTGTTCCAAAAAAATAAAAAATAAAATAAAATAAATGCTTCCATATTTCTTTTTTCCATGAAGCACAAAAATAGATGCTTAGCAGAATGTCCAAGTTGCTCCTTTGTTTACAATGAAAGCATTGAGGTTGTCAAGTATCACAAAATAGTCAATATGACTCTTCTGAAGCCATGCAAAATGTTTTATTAGGAACAAAGACTGAAGGGTTACTTTCTGACGATTCATTGAAAATCTGCTGTAGCTCTTGAATCACAATTTGCATACATTCAAACTTGACATCTCAAGGTGAGTTTCATCAAGTTACATCTTTGTTTTTCATGTGTTACGATCAAATATCTTGTGTCTCATGAACGACTGCATGAACATGATTTGAAAGCAGCAAAGGACAACATTTTCAATGAATACATGTTTATATTTTGGGCAGTTCCTCAAAAAAGCTATTGTATGACTGAAAGAAAAATTTGGAATGAGATAAGGGAGAGTAAATGATCAAATTAAAATGTTGGGGTCAACGATTCTTCCTTACAGGATCTGACTCACAACTGCATATTTTCAATGAAAAAAAGATGACAAAACCAGATATCTCATAAGATGTGCTCTTTTGAAAACAATCAATCAGCTCCGATCTTCTAGGAAAGTCGGTTGAGGGACAAAAAGTACAGGACAAATTAATTAAATGGGAGTATGATGACTGTCTGGCTTTACAGACAGTCGTCATAAGAACTGTATAGAAAAAAAATAATAATGAGGTCTGCAGACTTCAAACCAAGCAGACAAACAGGAGACATAAGGACAATGAAACTAAAAAGAGAGCAAATGAAGGACTGATTCTGCACTAGAATGTGACTGGATGGTGGATTTGTGTGCATGACTCAAGGGGGCACAAGGGAGAGGCAGGCGGCCATGCAGCAAGCACTGGGGCTAGTGCACAGACTGGTTCGCTTGGTTAAGGACTCACTCTGTCTGTGGTGACGTGGTGCACATGGCTGCACACTCCCCCGCTGTGAGTGTTGCCAAGAGGAGAGGATAGGGGAAAGCAAAATGCCCTGTACAGAGGAAGAGAAAGAGAAATGCTGATCCCAGCACCATACACACACACACACACACACACATACGATACACAAAGTTAGATGATCGTTTATCTCTCAGTCTTAGTGCCAGAACAGGGGGGAAAAAAAGCTGTAATTAGATTCACACATCAACTACTCTCCTTTTTGACTGTCCCGTTACATACCTGGCAAACTCTGATAAATCCAGAAATTTCATCTTGAAAAGTGCACAGAATAGCATTTTGTCATTTTTATGTGCAATATGCATCATGCTGTTCATTGAGGCCTGGGTTGGAATAAGGGAACTGTTTCAAAATGGGCAACCAAAGGCAAATTTCCACATTTAAATTCTCAACAAAAATATGCCTGATATCGCCCAAGAAAACACCCTGATCAAGCTGACTTACCATGTATAGAAACTTCTAATGGTGTGTTCACATTGACAGTGATCTGCAGTGATGAAGTGAAATAGTCATTCATTTTCAATGAGAAGGCAACATGGTGCAGCAGCCGACAATGTAAGTGAAGTGAGTGTAGCTCATGTGACCGTCACAATGTAAATAGTACATAGATTTTTTTTTGTATTTATTTATTTTATTAATTTAATTTTAATAATGGGTGTTTTAGCAAGAGTGAGCTCAAGCTGAACAAAAGTGACTGACAGGTTCAGTAATTATAAAATGGGCACTCTTTGCATGCTTTCTGTAATTTAAAAATTTGAAATTAATTCAAATTCAAAAGTTGAAGTTAATTTCAAAACATTCAAAATTAAAAAATATATATAATAATAATAACTTCTGCTAAGTACACTGCCAACTGTATTTAAATGCAAAACTGAATCCAAAAACGCAATGACTGAAATGTCATCACGCAATGATACTTAATAATAGCTCATAGTCATGCTATGGTACCAAGAAAAGTGAAATTTCACTGGCATTGTTACCAACTATTGAAATTCTGGTAATACTACTCTCAGTAGACAATGTACACACTGATTGGCAATTTTCATTTTACCTAATTTCAAAAACATTTTAAAATAAACTTGTTTTATTTTGTTTCAAAAATGTCAAACCTCCTATAATGAATGAAAAATAAAACAACACACAGTGTTTAGAATGACAACCTGAGGTTGACAATCAACATTTTCAGATGGGTAAGCTAATTTATTAAGAAAACAATTTCCAGGACCAATTTTTGTCCTCTTTGTGAAAAGTACCAAACCTTTAACAACACACAGGAAACTCAATTACACTCATGCCTGCGCCGCTTTGAGCTATTTAGTTTTGTCAGACATCAACATTTTCCTTTGTCTTTGATCTGACCCCTCTGAGGGGTCTTTTCTGAAGAATAACTGCACTCTTTTTCCCTGTTGTCCATGACTGTGTCAGTACAGAACCACAAAACAACAAATGAGATCCATTTAAAGGGTTAGTTCACCCAAAAATGAAAATTCTGTCATTAATTACTCACCCTCGTGTTGTTCGAAACCCGTAAGACCTTCGTTCATCTTCAGAACACAATTTAAGATATTTTTTATGAAATCTGAGGGCTCTCTGACCCTCCCATAGACAACAAGGTAACTACCACGTTCAAGGTCCAGAAAAGTACCAAGATGATCGACAAAGTAGTCCGTGTGACATCAGTGGTTCAACTGTAAAGTTACGAAGCTACGAGAATACTTTTTTGCGCAAAGAAAACAAAAATAACGACTTTATTCCACATTTTCGTCTCTACTGCGTCACTTGTGGACGCGCGTTCACGACAGTACCATGACGCGAGCGTGTGGCGGCGCCAGCGCTGACCCAGATCCGGCGTCATGATGTTATTATGCCGGATCTGGGTCAGCGCCGCCACACACTCGCATCATGATACTGTCATGAACGCGCGTCCACGACACAATGCAACTGTCCCTATGTGTTGCAGTGTAACATGGGAGTCAGACATTTGTAAATAACATACTACCAACATAAACCCTACCCTAATCCTAACAGATAGTGTTAACAATAGCAAACACGCATAACCATGCCACTTTAGTTTGCTTATACAAGTCTTTGAGCTCTTTCATGACTTGTTTTTACAGGACTTGTACCGAAGTGCTCTGCATCACAGGTTCAATGGTGTATCAGGTGAGTTAAAGAGCAAATTTACTATGTCAGAACATCCATAAATATGAAGCTGATGCATGATACAAACAACACAATGTATTAGTTTACAAATTACACACTATGGTAGAAGTGATTTGAGGGGTAAATGTAGCTATATCCCTAACTATGTACCTAATATACCCAACACTATAGTGATAAAGCTGCCCTGTTCATGCTTTCTATCTCTGCATGTATACTACTTACATTATGTGCCTTCCACAAGGTTTGAGTATCCTTGTCCTGGTGCTCCGGTGACTCCTTGTTAGACTCTGAGCCCTGCAAGCAGCGGCACTGCATATCCTCTACTGGAGAAGACTATGAAAATTAAAAATAAAATGCTCATGTACAGCCACATAAAACAGTATAATTAACAGCATACATATGACACAATGATCTCATCACATTTGGTTGGTTTTTCCAGGGAACTCTCAATAGGTCACAACACATCACAATACCCCAAAATCAAATTAATAAATTTCGCTATTTAAAAAAAGAATCCTGTTTTAACAGTTAAGCTGTTTTGTATTGTAACAATATGACAATTATAACAATTATGGTATTTAAGCAAAAATGATATATTATGTATACAATATGAGGTAGAATCTAATGAGAATCATCACTGATTACAAATTACAAAAATATAAATAAATAGAATACAAATGTGTTAAATGAAAATGTCACAATGCAAAAAATATGATTACTTAAATTACTTTGCCTAAAATTAGCTTTAATTTTTCATATAACATATGCAAGTATGAAAGACAAACTCCTACACACACACACACACACACACACACACATACATACACACACAAATTCAAACTAGAGAAATAATGAATTATGAGAAAATTCAAATGATTAAGAAAGGATCTGATTTCAGGGTTCATGTACAAAATCTCATTTGGCAACAATTTTTCATTGCATGTCTGCCAATGTAATTTCCTAACAGAATATTCACTCTTGTTGCTTTGATAAGAAACTGTTTAAATAAATAAATACAGCTTCTGCATGCAAGAATTAGATTTTGTAATTAATAATCAGTTCAACACTGCCTGTTTTAAGACAGATTAATTTATATTTAGTAGTAACATGATTTTATTGTTACTGCCTCATTCACAATCTCATTGACGAGTTATTTACTTACCATAGCACATCTCAGTAATCTATCGGAAATAACATGCTAATAATATAGCATTTTCCCACTTTTCTCAGAACTGCATTTTTCTGAGTGATTTCTACAGTGCTGGTGTCATTCTGATTTTTGGTTAATGTTTGAAGTCAGTTCCTCTTAAGTAAATATTTAGACTATAATACATACCAGCTGCTGGGAAAGTTCAGCGATCATCCTTTCTTTGCTTTTGAGCTCATCTCTCAGTTCTTGAACCTCTTTCAGGAGCAGCTCCACCTAGAAAATAACAGAAGACAAGATAAACCTGCATCTTTTTGCCCAATCAGAACAGGGGTTGATTTGTATCAAAGCTCAGATGGAAATATGTAAAATTTATAAGCTTAGTCATATGTGATCAGTTATTAGCCTAACATGCTTTTGGCTCTGCTGTTGGTGCATTAAACAATTCAGTTTTATAAAAGCCATGCATTACACACTACAACTGAGAATAATCATATGCCTAGACAAAGGTAAGTGTACATGATTTATTCGGACGGTTCATTTTTAGGATTCATGTCTGTGAATTAATTATTACTGCAGACGTGGACTGTAATATTTATGGTCTTTTCAGGCAGGATTAGCAATATATAACAATCGTCAAGAGCAGAAACCGTACCATGCAGCATTGTGCTCGGAGGGACAGTATAAATGCTTGGAAATAATATTCCATGCCTTTAAGTCTGCCATTCAATAACTGCAATGAGCTTTGTGCTTTGTTACTTTTAACATGAAACAAAGTCTCAGCTTTCAAATTCTGTCAATTTTATAATGAAATACAAAAAATATATATATATGGTTTTGATGCTCTTTAATGTGGCGTTCACTGTAGCTGTCTCAGTTCAAGTGGTAAGTGAACTGATCATCTCCTCCTCTTTACTACTAGAAATTTTTTAATGTATGTTTGAATAAATCTACCATGAAAGTTTTTATTACATACACCAAACATTTATATTTTAACAAAATGGAAACATAACAGTTTAAAGCATTGACATGAAAACTGCCTTATGTGCAAGTTAAATGTTTGTACAAAAGTTTTTATTTGAGTGTTGATTATTAAATAAATTTGATTATTTAAATTATTAAACAGAATTTATTTTTGTTTCGGCTAAATGAAAACTTTCAGTTTTGGTGTTACAGTAGCTAAAATAATAATTTTGGTGCATCACTAATAGGACACTTACATTGTAAGAATGTGCAGGGAGACTTCAGATATAACGCTGACTTGTTAGGAAATATTAACTATTAATATAATATTAATGAAATCATGGTTCAACGGCTTCACTTGGTATGATGTCATGAGCATAGCATCTCAGCAGTAGAATGTTTCGGCATGGATGTGCATTGTCTACACTGGGTGTAGTTGTGCCTGGTCATAGTTTTAGTTGGTGCAACAGATGTAAATATTTATAGGAAGGCTGGACGTAGCTAAGCCCATTGTAGGGCTTACACCCAACTTTTTTTTACATCTAGCTGGTGTAATCGGTCCTGTGACTTAGGCCAAAGAGGGTCATGCCCTAATCCTGATAAACATGGCTTAACTTTTTACCTACAGATAAAAAATATGATATGCTGAAACTAGAGGGACCTAGACAATGCATTATTATGCTCAAAAAAGTAATTTGAAGTATGGATCGAAAGTGTCTTCAAACACATTTTGTAAACGTCTTTGTAAAATGTTTTATATTTAAGTAAGGACAATAAAAAAGGACAATAACCAGGGTTCTCACTCTTTCATGAACACCAGATTCAAGGACTTTCAAGGACTTTTTCAAGCACCATTTATTTTATATCAAGCACCTATCAAATTCACACCCCAGCATATGTAGTGTTATGAAAGACCTTACATTACTTAGTTCACTTACACTAAACATTTACATAAAACATTGTCTGAAATTCAAGTACTTTCAAGAAGCGTGGGAACCCTGAATAACACAAGATCTTACCTTCTGATCAAGTAAAGATTGGTCAGTGGATGATGGAGTATTAGCCTCTAAAGTATCTTCAGCTGAACTATCTGTCTCCATCTAAAACAAACAACATACAAAATCAATCTTGTAGTTCAGCAGTTGAGTCATCTGTTTTATTGTTAAAGTTGCTCAGTGTATGGAGGTGGTTACACTAGACTTTTTTGCTCCACTCACTGCCATTCATTTGTATGTGAATGCTGAAGACCAGAAACGTTGAAGTTTTGCCAATAGTCACTGTCGCCTCAAATCACCAACTCCACCAATCAGTTTAAATGCCCTTTAGATAGCATGCTGGACTATGAAGCAATTAGCGCACATGCTCTGGCATACTGTTACCTGTATTATTTGTCAGCCACATTACCCCAAGATTTTCACACCAATTATTTTCTTTCTTCTCTTAACTATCTACTCATTTTAAGTCAAGTCAAGTCAAGTCACCTTTATTTATATAGCGCTTTTAACAATACAGATTGTGTCAAAGCAACTGATAGGTAGCCAGTGCAGAGACTGTAAAATTGGGGTAATATGATCATATTTTCTTGACCTGGTAAGGACTCTAGCCGCTGCATTTTGGACTACCTGTAGCTTGTTTATTGAAGATGCAGGACAACCACCTAGCGGTGCATTACAATAGTCCAGTCTAGAGGTCATGAATGCATGAACTAGCTTTTCTGAATCAGAAACAGGTATCATGTTTCGTAACTTGGCAATGTTTCTAAGATGGAAGAATGCTGTTTTTGTAACATGGAAAATATGATTTTCAAAAGACAAGTTGCTATCTAATATAACACCCAGATTTTTGACTGTAGAGGAAGTAACCGTACATCCGTCTAGTTGCAAACTGTAATCCACGAGATTCGGTGTACTGTCTTTTGGTCCAATAAGTAATATCTCTGTCTTATCCGAATTTAATAGGAGAAAATTATTGGTCATCCAATCTTTTACATTTTTAACACACTCTGTTAGCTTAGATAATTTAGAAGTTTCATCTGGTCTTGTTGAGATATATAGTTGAGTATCATCGGCATAACAGTGGAAACCAATCCCGTTAAGGTCAAAAATATATATAAATACGTATGCATATATTTTTTTATTTACCAATCAAAGAGATGTGAACGGTCCATTATTACTCTGTTTAATTGTAATGCATCTCTTGAGAAACTTTGAAAAGTTCTTTAATAAAAGAAATCTAAGAAATGAGCTGTATGACAATGTGAAAACATTATCAGGGCTGTCATTTTCTTGAAATTGAGAGTCTTTTTCACACACTGGACTGCTGTATTTTTATCCAACAATCAAACAAAAACTAATGTACTTGGGGGGGAAATCAGATTCATTATTTTTTTAAATACTCTCAGAGAATTGACAGGAGACTAATGGTGTTCACAGAAATATTTTGGAACAAAATCTAGTCCCCATGATGAAAAGCAATAGACAAAGAGGAGCCTTTTTTTCTGACTTATGTATGATCTCTCCATACTCCAATAACATCTTAGTCATCCTTTTATCCCTTCAAAAGCCTTCAAAGCCTTTAGGGTGACTGGAGGAGTTGTAACACTCCTCTAAGGAGCTCTAGAACACATCTCACCTATCAGAAATTATCTACAATCAGCTCTAAACAGAGACCGCTTGAGCGCATGTAGCTCAGAACAGGCTCAGAGTTAAAGCCATAGCTTTGTGGGCAGCGCTCTGACATAAAGTATAGCACTGATGTGCCTCAGATGAATCGATTTCTAGTCCCCAGTTTGAGATCCTTTCCCTCTCTTCTCTCCATTGTCTTCTATCCATTGTCACTTTTAAAATAGATAGACCAGGCTCTGAGTAAAATAGTTACTAAAATCATAAAAGTTAAATGGAGAGCAACAGAATGAAAAAGAACTCAGGGACACATCATCTTACAAATGCAGTGTTCATGGAGCAATACACTGAATAAGCACAGTCAGACGTTACATCTGCATTTATACACAGACCAACAAGTACTACATATTTGGAATTCCAAATTTTAGAGTGCTGACATTTCAACAGTTACTAGTTGCTAGACATCCAATTCACCTCACTAATTGACTAGTCTGTTGTTGGACAGAAAGTTTTCAGAAAAGCTGGTCTAAGAATGCAGGTCTTCCCTTAGTGCTTCCCAGTATAAGGCACTTAAAAAATAAATTTGTCCATTATCCAAACTGCTTATCCACCTTTACACTGTGTTTACTTTGAATGTGAGTAGTGCAACACAACGCGAATGATCAGTAGAACCATACTAAACAGTGATTCTGTCTGCACTGGATGTGGCGCAGTGTGACGCGACAAATCCCTGACAGTAAACTGATGCCCTATTCTATTTCTATAACTGCAAGTGAGTGCGCTACTTTTGACATGAAGGACAAATTAATTTACAACAGTGAGTTACTTTGTTGCATCCAGTGTAGACATGTTCTAGCTGTTGCAGTGTGATGTGACACGACAGCGGTGTCATTTGGTGTAGACACAGTTAGGGTCGTGGGGGGTTGGGGCCTACAGCTGGGCGATTTTTGCTATTCATTAGATGCTATTTACACTAAGAGGAAATAGCATATGTGACCCTGGACCACAAAATCAGTCATAAGGGACAATTTTTTGAAATTGAGATTTGTACATCATCTGAAAGCTGAATAAATAAAACCTAAATTTCCACTGATGTATGGTTTGTTAGGAAAGGACAATATTTGGTCGAGATACAACTATTTGAAAATCTGGAATCTGAGGGTACAAAAAAAATTTACAGTGGTCATATGATGCTGCTAAAAAGAACATTATTTTGTGTATTTAGTGTAATGAAGTGTTTATGCGGTTTAAGGTTAAAAAAAAACATTATTTTCCACGTAATGTACATTATTGTTTCTCATCTATGCCCCACCTTTCTGAAACGCGTCGATTTTTACAAAGCTTATCGGTCTGAAAAGCGAGGTGTACGCTGATTGGCCAGCTATCCAGTGTGTTGAAATTGGCTGAATGCCTCAAGCGTGTGACGGAAATGTTACGCCCCTTATCATACTGTGATGCCTTGTGTCCCGGCACGACAAGACAAAAACAATAAAACCCATTACAAACAAGGCATTTGTTGCATCCAGTGGGGACATAATTACTGAG